TTTTTTTTTTTTTCCGCGCACGTGCACCACTCTCTCGCTTATGGCGTGCGAACATCATGATGATTGATTGGATGGTGAAAATGTTTCCTGCGTAGCGTGTKTTTTCAAWTTTTTTTGTATGTGTGACAGTCTCCATTTTGCACCGCACACCTRTGCGGTCTGTGAARATTGTGACGATCGGACCCAAGTTTTAATCAGTGACGGAAAGTTTTCCTGTGTAAATGTCATGTGTTTGTATTTTGTGGTGGCTTGATCTCTTTGCAGTGGTTTGGCAATCTTGTGACAATGGCTTGGTGGAATGACCTCTGGCTGAACGAAGGCTTCGCGACATGGGTTGGGTGGCTTGGTGTGGACCACTGTTTCCCAGAATGGGACATATGGACACAAGTAGGCGCTTTACTTCCCCCGCCACCCCCTCTACTCTCTCAGGTCCAGGGCCAGCCCCCCTCTCTAGCATGTCACATCCAGGGTCAGTGCCCGCCCCGCCTAGGGCCAGATCCCCCTCTMTCATGTCAGGCTCAGGGCAYCCCACCTGTAGCTTGTTGGGGCCAGGGCCAGCCACAACCTTTTCACAGCAGTTACAAGAAAGAACCTTTTGATGGCTTCTGAATCTGCCCCCCCCTGTCGGTCCTGTCTACGGTCTTTTTCTTTCCCTAAATTTGTTTTCTAGTTAGAACCGCACAGTGGACAGTGGAACAGATCTGGACACAGGACGCCGGACTGTCTGGGCACGTCCGGAAGTCCAGATCCTGGCAAATCCCTGAAAATCTGGACATGTCTGCTTGTCCTGTACCGATACGTGTGCRGGTGCTAGWTTTAACCACCCGTCCCAAAACGAAAAGCGGGCCGCCAATTCGACTTTATCAATGGTGGGCCTCCCTGGCTTGGCTACCGCGTTAATCGGCGCGTCTCAGATTTCAAGCGGGGAAAGGTACCGGTGGTTTGAAGAAACAAAAAGAAAAAGAAAACGGCAACGGTTTGAAGGTTGAAAGGCCTGTAGGAAGTTTAGGGAAGGCCTGCAGAAGGSGAGTGACATGGAAGGGSATCCGAAAGAGTATGGTCGGGACGTCAGGGCCTTCAGGGACCCAATACCTCAGTGATTAATTCATTGGTTTGTTGGGCTTCAAGATCTCTACCTGGGTTTGAACCCCAGGTTCAGCAAGTTGTGTGCTATGCGCTGTTCTGTGCTGTGTGTGTGTGTGTGTGTGTGTGTGTGTGTCTGTGTGTGTGTGTGCTGTGGGTGGGTGGGTGGGTGTGCTGTGTAACCCAGCTGCTTTTGCTCAGTTTGGCTCAGATCTTGTTGCTGCCACTCAATAGTTATGAAACCATGGCATGAGACTATAACAGTAGTTTTGAAACAACCACAATATAGTCCAATCTCGATTGCAAACCAAGGTGGTGTTATTTATGTGTTATGTAGTATTTAGATCGAATTCGGATCTCTCMGATTGATCCCAGTTTGCTTTTGCTCGTGTACAACAAAAACCGATCACTGAACAAATTGATAGTGAACTGGCTAACTTTTGTCAAAATCAGAGTTGCTTATTGTTAAGTTGTGAACTCATCGGTTATTTGAACTTATTTTGTACTTCGCGATCTCCACCCGGGTTCAAGCCCAGGTGCAGCAAGTTGTGCGCTGTGTGCTGTGTGCTGTGCTGTGCTGTGCTGTGCTGTGTATGTGTGTGTGGATGAATTTAGCTCTTGTGTGTGTTTGTGTGTGCTGTGCTCTGGGTCACCCTGGCTGGATGCCAAACAGGACCCTGGGCCCAGGATAGTGTCTGGATCATACCCGTGGTTTGTCTCATAAAATACTTAATGCAATGCCAGCATTGTTGAATTCAGCC